TTGTTACTAGTAGTAAGGCCAGGAGCCCCTAGTAGCGTCCTTGCTCCTAGTAGTAAGGCCAGGAGCCCCTAGTAGCGTCCTTGCTGCTGGTAGTAAGGCCAGAAGCCCCTAGTAGTGTCCTTGCTCCTAGTAGTAGGCCAGGAGCCACTAGTAGCTTCTTGTTACTAGCAGTGTTCTGCAAGATCGTCATGCCGCAATTACGGTGACGACATGATGTGATGCTTACTTGCAGCGGTGCTTGTGAAATTGAACACGTCGTTCATACATCGTTCATATTTGTTCATCGTCTGTATGCATGACTCAGAGTCACAATATGCCAACTCTTTCACATTGAACAAGTAGATCAAGGCAGCACCCTCCATCACCCCCAAACTCGCTCGGTCCCCGCCTTCGGACTTTACCACAAAGACTGATGATCCATCCGACTGACAGGAAGATGCACAACTCCTGCCGAGGGGGGTCAGAATGTCAAGAAAAGGTAGGTGTGAAGGCCGGCTACAGAGATTCACCGATCCAAGGAATTGTATAGTCAGAGACTCTGGCTGGCCTATAATCAGTATAGTCAGTATAGTCAGAGATTCACTGATTATTTGCTTGTTTGCTAGTTCCCGATTGGTCGCTCCGCCTGAATAACCAGTTGGTCCATGATAGCTCATCACTTCGTGCAGAATTGCTGCTGGAAGGTACCCTAACGCAAGTCGTTGCTGGTTACACACTGAGCCCAGGTTTCATTGAGGGGTAAGTTGTTTGAGGCATGCCGTGCTGTCTTCAACAATAGAGTATATAGAGTCAATAGAGCATCCGTTTCTGATCAGGAGCGCTTTACCGTCAAGAAGGTTTGAAACACAGCTTGATGCAACATGCAAAAGCGTAAGATAATAGAACACTGGAGTGCTCCAGCACCTCAAGCCAATTCAAGCCGCTGGTTAGCCAGGATGGTGCCACCAGCGATCACTGGCACAACAAAAACAACATGGTCTACCAAGGGATGCTCACCAGTCCAAGGCGTTTGCTTGTCAAGGCAATGCCCTTGGTATATTGGTGTCTTTTGATACTTGAGTTACTTGAGTTCTCAGGTTATTGACACAAAAGAAACAAATAAAATGTTCTCAATAAGTCGACAACTCCATCAGTCGAACACTTTCGCTTGGTATCATTTTGAGTGTTTTGTGTCTGAAGAAATCTGAAGATATCTGCGGATGGTTCCTCACCATTTCCATCCATTTCCCACCCATCTCACTGGACTTCGCAAAGCGGCGACCCAATACGCCTGCAGCCAGAGGCTCTTCGCCCGGAGGCGCCAGCGCTCTTCGCAACGGAGCACAGGAACGAGCCAAGCGTAGCCGCAACTGGCAAAGCCGGGCGAGCTGGAACAGCGGACATGGCAACGGGGAAGGGTTGCAACGGTGCTTGGGTGAAGACTTAGCACTTGGACCCAAGTTCAGGACGTATATCACTCGCGGTTAAGTGGGGAGAATGCGACGAAACATTCGGGGGCCATGTTTTGAGAAACTCCCGGTTCTGCGTCTTGATCATCTTGATGAGGATCTTCCATCAACTGAAGCTTCAAAGCTTTGCCCGTGTCCCCTCCATAATGTAGACTCTCTTAGACTCTTAGATTCATAAAATCCGCATATGAAGAGGATTTTCACTTCAATTGGTGGGTTTTCATCCACCAAGAGTTGACTTTACCCATTTTGTCGGGGGTCCAGTAGATCCCGGCATCCCGGCAGATTCTCGTTTCATCTCCACGACTTGCGTGGTCCTCACGGACTCTCAGACGATCAGACTACTGGTCCACCAGACTTGTTTGGCTCTCAAATTGTTGAGAAATAGATTCAATGTGTTTCCTGATGTCCAAATCCTTCTCAATCTTGCAAATGGTTCCATCTAATTAATTGGAAACCACGTATTATACAGTGAGCTACCCTTAGAATGAGTTCCTGCTCACCGGATACTTTGCTTGCTCCCTACCTGAAGTGGGACAAAGATTGAATTCACAAAGGGATCATGAGTTCCAACCTGGTCAAAGATCTCTTTTATACGTTTTATATCCCTGTGTACAGACTTCCAACGACTGGTCACGCTGATCCCTGAGACTCTGAGAGAAACCTCTGCGCGTCAGCTCATCTTTTCTATGACGAAAGCTGTTACACTTCAGACCCTCGCGCGTCGACCGGCGCCTGCAGAACATACTCGGGTGTGTGTGCTTCCGGGAAACAAGAGACTCCGGTCTACCGGGTCTACCGGGAAATATGGTTTCGACTCAACATATACAAACAATAAAATATTCACCTTCTTCCATGAGTTTTCTCTCAAAACCACCTCTGTATCTGGAATAGAAGCATTTGAACTGCTTGAACTCCGTCGGAGGTCCGTCCAAGCAAGTTCAACGACCCTTTAAAATTTTTGGCCGGACCAACGCGTTTCTGTCGCAAGGATCTGAGACATCGGCATGCAATGAAAACATTATGTTGGGGTCCTGATGGTACCTGCATGTACCAGCCTAGTTTTAAAGAACTTAAGCATTTCAAGCGTGAATCCATACCTTTGAACCGCCTTTGTGATATCAACTCCGAACCTGCCAGAGCTCTAATGCCCTCAAATTCCAATGTCGTATGCTCAGTGGGCTGGCCGCAGGCTACAGAGCGAAATTTTTAAAAAAACAAAACATGTTCCACATTGTTCCACCTGTCACCGTGTCACTGTTGGAAGCATCGATCTTCGGTTCATTCGTTGATCCCATGTGGCACCACCGAAGGTGGCCGCCGGAATCTGTTGGTCACGGCCATCTGCGCGGGCAGGGTCCCGGTTCCAACGGTGGAGATGGTGGGAGTGTGGAAGTGGCGACCAGTCTGGTGAAAAAACAATACGACACATCATCATACATCTTTTACAAAGTAGGGCCACAAAAATCGGCGCCACTAGCGGCGCCCTCACCTGGGGCTTTGTAAAAAAATCTTTAACGAATACACATGTATTGCAACGCTGGAGCTTCGGTTCACCCATGTGCACTCTACATATTGTAATTGTACTGTCCTCCAAGAGACGAGACTCGAATGAGCAACACGTCAAGCTGACTCAATCATCCATCGAAGTAGGACGCGTAACAGACCCCCAGATTAATTGGAAATTAATCCGCATACTCTTTACATCAGAAAAGCAAAATTAAGCCAGATGCGTTGAGATTTTAGATTAATAGACAAAATAGTATTGGTAGGTATCCTGAAGCAGGCGCAAAATCAACAATCTTGAAAACAAATTGATTTCTTTGGGCTGGATACCAAGCCATTCACAATCCTTCAACATCAGAGGGGCGACAAACACAACAAATACGTTGGCATTTTTCTGCAGGTTGTTGACATCGGGGCAATGATGAAGGATGCCGGGGCCGATTTTGCTGGGCTCAGCAATTGCAGGCTTTGCGCCACCTTCCTGCTCCAGTGATTTCGACCGACCAGTCGAGGCCAGCAAACTCTGACAATTGCGAGCCCAGCCAGCTGAACGAGCCAGCAGCAATCTACTTCCCAGCAGGATTTCCAGCAGAACATCCGGTTCTTCTTGCATTATTTGCTTGTTGGTATTGTGATTACTTCCAGCAGGAAGGTGTTATCATTGGAGGGCCAACGCATGGCCGTCCAGGCCGCATAGAGCTTTGGAAGACGGCCCACCATTGGAAGACACACAAAGACTGTTGGACGACCCCTTTTGACACTACTGCTGCCCAAGCCTGCCAAGCCGTTCACAAGGCAGAAGATGATCAGTAGGGAGAGACGAGCCACCAACCATCAAGTCAAAGATATTCCCAAACAAACACTCATTTGGGTAGAGCTGTTGGATCACCTCTTGGCACCTGTCATCTGCCTCTACCTCAAAAGCGCGTGGTGTTAAAACCACACCCTGTGTCCATATAGGTTTGTAATGGTTTGTAAATGGGTTCACCTGGGGCGGCTTGAGGTATGTTCTTGCTGAGGGCGGTTTTGTTTGGTCAGTGTTTGGCCAAGGCCCCATGCAGATCCCACATGAACCCTTTACCACCACCACCTGGGACCCACATGGGCACCACCAAACTCCTGGCTCTATAAAGCTTAGTGAACTCCTCCCACAAATTCAAAAAGCCGCGGCAATCAGTGGGAGTTTGTTTTCACAGTGTGCAAGTTCCTCAGTCTGTGTTCAAAAAAAGCACAGTTCCTGTCCAGACACTCCTGAGCCTGTGCCTGTAAAAACACACATAGCTCATCTTCACAAAACACAGGTCCTGTGCTACAAACAAAATAAACAAGCAGCCCATCTTCACACTTCTATGAGGGGCCTCCAACAAATGTTTCTGCAGGACAATCTTGCTGTTAGAAGCTATTGATGGTATGCCCGATTGCTTGAACAACTGTTTGAGCTGAGCAGCATTGAGAATGGAATTTCCTGTGAGGCAATAAGCCAAAGGCAATGGCATTGGCTGGCCTGCCTTCTTCCACACAATCCTGCCCTCAGGGTGCAAAATTGGCCTTGTGGGCACATGAATCCACTCATCCAACTTGGTGATGTGCCTCCAATGAAGCAACTGTCTGTTTGGCCTCAAAATAAAACAAACAGAGCCATCTGCATCCAGACCAATGTCCAAGGCCCATACCAGCACTCCAAATTCTGTTGGTGCTATCACCCTCATTATTGTACCAGAAGGCCCATGAGCTATTGTAGCACCTGGCTTTCCTGCTACCCATGTGTCCTGCAAAGCAACACCTGGGTACTCACCCCTGAGGAATGCCCAGACCCATTCAGAAGCTGCTAAGGTGTGAAAAAGATGCCTTCCATTCCTTGGCCGCATCATGCCTTGCAAGCCCTCATCCAACTTGTGAAGTCTTGGGCTCATGGCATGCTTGACTGGTACACCTCGCCAGTTCTTGGCAGGAAAATCAACTCCTGGGCACTCACTGAGACACACTGAAGTCCTCCCTGTCAACAGTGCTCACTTTGAATTGTGCCACAATATATAGATGTGTTGGGAGCTGAATTGTTTCTGCCACCTCTCAACAGGTCTGGTCCCGCCTGATGGGCCACTTCAACTACCCTGCTGTCCCCAATGCTGTTGCATACAACTCTGTGCAAAGCCACTGCCTGGCCAGCAGCACAAGGCAGAGTCTTGAAGCATCATCTTGGTGTGCCATTGCCAGGACCCTGATGAAAGAATTCATTCTCCAATAGATCTTCTTGAGTGCAGGTATCTGCTGTGGTGATTGCAAGTTGGCTGCCTCCAATCTTAGCACAAACTCCCACTCAGCCAGCAACTCTTTCCTGCTTCGCTCAGCTTTTGCAGGGTCCACCTGCAGCACACCATTCCATCTCATGGGGGGTAAGCAAAAAGTGGATGCCAAGGAAGTGCCCCTTGTGTTGAGCATGTGGGCAAGCAGGCCACAGGTTGCTCTGGCCATGGGGAATTGCCCCATACACAGTAGGCCACCATTTGCTCTAGCTCCACCGCAAAGTATTTGTTGGAAGCACTGGCCACAAATTGCTCCAAACGTGCTCTGGTTTGACAACATTCTTTGCCTTGTCTGAGTGCTGCAGCACAGTAGCATGCTATCCATCACGGTCAAATTCCTGTCTGTCACCATTCTGGGTGCCAATTTCCACCCTCCAGTCTTCTTTTTGATCTCTTGAAGTGTTTTTCTATAGTCTTCTCTCTTTTGTCCATCTTCACCAGGCAAGGGGTCAAGGAAAGGTTCTTCTTCTTCATCAGGATGTTTCTGCGCAGTGTTTGAAGGCCCTTGATCTGAAAATGTGATCAATGTTGGCAAGGTGGCAAAGCTAAAACCTGGGGGGTATTCAGGCAGAACATCACCATCTCTGTTCACCACACGCCACTGCCCTTCAACGTAAACTCTGGCTTCACCATCTTTGAGAGGTCTTGCAAGGATCTCCTTTGGTGGTCTGAACTCCATCAAATTTGTGCCAACTGCTTGCAAAGCATGGCTGAGTGCACAAATCTCACCATAGCCTTCCAAAGTACCCAACTTTGATTGCTTGGCAGCCTCCAACAATGAATCATCAAACTCAGGCATCAATATGCGTCTGAGGTGCTGGTTTGGCAGGTAGGCAGCAAGATTTATGAGAATATAATGTGGAGACCAAAGTGTTCCTACCTCCACAATTGCTTGGGTCAAAGGCAACACTGTATTGCTTGGGTGCCCCAACAAAAGCTTTGCCCAACTTGTCCACACAAATGGCCACAGTCCTGTGAGGCCCCTTTCCACCACCTCAGAATGTTGACCAGTGAGGTTGTCATGTGTGCCAGCTATTCTCTTTCTGTTCTGGCTGTGGCCCTTGAGCTTCTCAAACAAGATAATTTGTTGAC